GGGTGTGCGCACCCAGCTCAGCCAGCGGGTGGACGAGCTGGTGGTGCCGGCCACCATGCTCAGGTGGGGGCAGGGGCTGGGAGCCGGCTGCTGTGGTCAGGTGGGGCAGGAGCTGGGGTTGGTCGTGCTCAGGTGGGGGCAGGGCTGGGGGCTGGCTGCTTGGTCAGGTGGGAGGAGGGCTCCTTGAAGGGACAGGCTGGGGCCAGCTGCAGCTATTGGGGAAATGGGAGTCATGGATTGGACACCTTGGGGAAGGCCAGATGTGGGGGGTCTGGAGAGCTGGCCACAACCGTGGAGGGGGTGTCTCTGGGCAGAGCACTCAGGCTGGGGAGGTGTGACCCTGGGGTGCCCGTCTCCCTGCCCCCCTCCAGCACCATCCTGGAGGCTCCAGTGACGGAGCAGGAGTTCCTGGAGCAGCTGCACGAACTCAACAACAAGATCAACTATGTGAAGGAGCAGGCCTTCCGCGAGACCATGGCCTGCGCCGACGTGCACCACGTGCTGGACCGGCTCAAGGTCAAGGTGAGGCTGGGAGGGTCTGCGCTCACATGCATGTTGTGGGCAGCCAGGGGGAGGGGTCTGTAGCCCCCCCCCCCCCTTGTGCTCCCCTCCACCCTTGCAGGCTGTGACCAAGATCCGGGAGTTCGTCCTGCAGAAAATCTACTCCTTCCGCAAGCCCATGACCAATTACCAGATCCCCCAGAACGCCCTGCTTAAGTACAGGTCAGCTGGGGGGGGACAGGGATCCCCCAGAACGCCTTGCTCCAGTACAGGATGACTGGGGGGATAGACATAGGGTTGCCAGGTGTCCAGTTTGGAACCGGACTGTCCAGTATTTGAGCTTTCTGTTCGGGAAACAAAATTAAAAAAAAAAAGAGAAACTAGAACGTGGGTATTTTCTACATTCGAAGTCACGCAGATTGTGATGTAGTGTCAAGTGTGTCTGCTATGTTTGTTGAAACCATTGGCAACCCTAGATAGACAAGTATCCCCCAGAATGCCTTGCTGCAATATGGAGGGATTGGGAGGTACCCGGGAATCTCACAGAACGCCTTGTTCCGTGTCATGTTAACCAACGGGAGGCTTGCCTCTTGCTCCCTGGCAGGCGGGCAGGTCCCCAGGCAGGTCCCCAGGCAGGTCCCTGGGCAGGGGGGCGGTTCCATTGGCAGGTCCCCAGGCAGGTCCCCAGGCAGGTCCCC